GGGCCCTAGCGTGACTCTGCCCGCTCCTGGGGTCGCGCTTCCCCCGCGCGGAGGTCGGGATCCCGGCCCCACGCGGTTCCAAGGGAAGCGAAAGAAGATCTGGGCTCGGGTTCGGCAGCAGGAGAAAGAACTCGCGCTTAAGTTTTCAGGAGGTTTCTGTTCTCTTGTTCGAAAGCCCCCCTTCCCGCCTGTAAGGGTGCGGAGGGCGGCCCCCGGGGTCTGCGTCCGAAGTGGGTGAGGGTGGACCTGGAGCCCGAACCGCTGGGTCCCACCCTGTCTGCACGCACGGCTTTTATAAGTTTTCCTCATTCTTCGCGTTCCCGCCTCCAATCTGTTTCACTTACTTAACTTTCCTTTAAACGCCAACGACGGCTTCTAGCAATATTTTTTTACATCCAAAAAAAAAAAAAAAAAAAAAGTATTCCCCCTCCTCTTAAATAAAAAGCAGCCAAAAGAGAGCTTTGGTTTTCTGTCAGTTTTAGATTCAACCACTTCATGCCCCTACCCTCCAAAACCGAGCGAGGGGGTGAAAGGAAGTGAGTAAAATCTTCAAGTCTGTAGTGGGTAGAGGTGCCCCCGTGTTAGACAGAAGGAAGAGCTCAATTCGTCGGTTCATTCTGGGCTCGCCGCTTTTTCATTTGAATAATAATTTTTAAAAAAAGCCAGGAAAATGGTCCAAGTAATAGAAGGAAATGCAGACTATTTTCTGAAAGCAACGAAAATAATGAACATCCCCAAGATTAAGACCCAAGGAACCAAATCATTTGTACAAATGCCCTAAAACCCTAAGTAGAAGGAAAGTTCATTGAGGAAAAGGAAAGGATACTCGTGTCGTTTCCCCTGAAGATTTTGGCTAAGAAGCTCTCTTGTGACTTATTAGGACAGTGGTCGGCCATAGTTGTAACCACCTGGATAGGAGAGAGAAGGGATCCAGAATGTTTTCACGATCAACCAGAGCCCCATTGCAGTGGTCATCTTTTGAGTATTTTTCTGTGTAGGCCTTTCTGAGACACCCCGTTTCCCAGTTGCAAGAGGCATGGTGTCCAGCCTTGTGACTTGTATCAGCCAAGTAAGGGCTCAGAAAGCTTTTAGTCGAAGATACACTCCTAAGCCTCTCTGAATATCCGGTCAGACTTACTTCCTTAATAACTTACTGGTCGGCGTCATAATAATGACATCCTTAAGTTTGGTTCAGACATTAGGATCACTTAAGTGTCTCTTTGTGAATCCCATGTGGAGCTGACAAAGGTGGCAGAAGCAAAAGGCCTGTTCACCCACAGCTTCTGTCCTTTTCACTCGAACACACACACACACACACACCAAGTGCAAATAAAAACTTGGTCAGGAACCATTTCCTTTCCCTGTTCATGCTTTTTGCATTCAGAGACAGTAATTTGTTTTTATATTTCTTGGGGCCAATTAGACTCACTTTAATAGGTAATCCCAGAATTTTCAAAGGTTATGTTAGTTTGGTAAAACACTTTAATACACAGACTTTTTTTTTCCCTTATATCAGTTCATTAATTTTGTGAGCCATGAATTTAACATGAATTTACATTCAAAAAGAATTCCAACCCGTTCTAAGAAACACTTTTTCATGAAAGGATGGTAAAATACAGATATCTCGAGTTTTTAGCTGGGAAACTCACATTGCTAGAAATCTCACTGAATATTTCAATATAGCATCATCATGTAATTTTTGGCTTTATAACTCATTATTCTTGATCTAGGTATAACTTGTTTCTCCCCCATTAACTTTTTTTTTTTTGACAGTTTGTTTTTATGTAAAGGTACTGTTACGTATAGTTTAAGATATCAGGAAGGCCCTCTGTATTTTTCATTATTCCTGCAAAATAGGAAAAAATCTATCTAGGGTTTATGGTAAACTGCATGTATAAATGTGTGCACTCAATGTTTGTTTTGCACATACATTCATTTGTGTCAGGATTTGTTAATCATATGAACACCCCCATAAAAGAAATGTTAGAATTAAAGCGAAAAACAGTCTTAATAAAAATATTTTATCTTTCTGTATCACTTGCATTGAGAACTAGAACATGTCCCCCAGATGTACCCAGGAATATTTCATCTTTGTCAGTATTACATGGAAGGACTACATTGAATATCCTCTTTGTCCGTAAAAGCTAGCCCCACAGTCCAAATATGCTGTGCCTCAGAATTCCCACTCCCCCTATTTCCTATATTTCCTTTTCCATAGTTATTCAACATTCTAGGCTTTTGCTTTCTCAAAATATGCATCTCTGTTTATCAGGTGTGAAAGATGAGTGATTTCTCACGAGGGTTATGTAGCAAAATCCACAAATATAGCTTGGCCATTATAACTTTAAATGCAGATATATCCTCACGTTATATAGTGGAGATGCTTAATTTTTAATTTTCAAGTTCTAGAAATACTCAGTGCTTCTGAAACATTACAGCATTTTCCTTCAAAGCAACTTCCATGTTTATTTTCCAGAACATTAGTGTATGATTTAAATTGGCTTTAGTTTTACCGTTTAAACAGGCTTATTTCACCTTCCTCGAGCCACTGTAATAATTAGCAGACATGTTCTCTAGAAACTGGAAAGGAAATAATGCTGGTGGCACGCATAGTGGTCGGATTTTTGGGCAGGCCGGCTTGCGTCTTTTTGAACACCAAGGTCGTCTGGTTACTGGAAGGGACAGGGATCTTGGAGTCATCAGATGAATCTTTTAAAAAAAATTAATTTCTGGCAGTGTTGGCTCACACTTTTTAGTGAGGAAAAGCTTAGCGTTAAATAATAGGCATTTCTGATTTGTGAAAGAAAATTGAAAAATAGGCATGTCTGCAAATACCACGAAAAGCATACCATTTCCAAAATAATGATCTGTCAACGAAATTGCAAAATCATTATGTGAACGAGCTGAATTGCTTTGTGTACCATCTCATAGAAATATGTTTTGCACAGATAATGTGTCTAATAAGGACACATTTTTAAAATCTGATTTTTCCCCCCAGCAAGTAGCTGCACTGCAGGTCTCTCTCAGGCAGTCAACTAGCACCACCTTATGGATGATTTGAGGACATTGCTGCTTCCCTGCTAGGCTTTCGTAAAATGTAGTAAATTGATTTAAAATAATGGGAATGTTGATGGTGATGACAATGTTAATGACAATAATAATGCGTTTTTTCCCCTTCTTGTTTTTCAGGCATCGGATGCCAGCTCTGAAAAACTCTTCAACACTGTTATTGTAAACAAAGGTAAGACCCATTCATTCTCCTGAGTAATGGCTTGTTTTTATGTTAGTTTCATTGTCATTGCCTAGGAAGAAAGAAGAGCCAGAGTGATCTTTCTCTTTTAATTCTGAAGCTACTGTTGATGTTTTGTGTTTTTGCTTGAGATGGAAGTCTGCATACTTTGTGATGCATTAACAACCAGTTTATTTTAAAAGAATACATTGAGTCCCTATTTAAATAGATTTGACTAATCACTACTACTATGTGACTCTAATATAGAAAACTGTACTAGAGAAGAATAGTTCTCAAAATGCCTGAACTTTATGTTACTTATCAACTACCCAGCAGTAGGAGAAATATAAATAGCTGATGTGTGATGCAGACTCTAGTAATCAGTGGATGTTTAGAATTCACAGTATTATGGTCATAAACCAAGCCTTACTCTGCTGTGGGCTTTCTGTAAAGTTAATAAACGAGCAAGAGGGCAGAATTTAAATACGCACTATCCCATTAATGTCTTCCAAACCACAATCTAGAGTAAGAGACGCTAATGATATAGCAGTACATTAAGGGAAAACTAACCTTAAATCATTGCCAATAGGTTTCCGCGCAGTTTTCATTTGTTAGCAGTATTGTTGGAAATAATGAAATTTAGGGAAGTCTCTAATCACTGGCTCTGAAAGGTGTATAATTTGAAAGGTACAAACCATATAAACTATTTAATCTTCCCCTTTCCACTCTCGAGCCTGATTTAGGGGCTGGCATGATAATTGCTCAGTAAAGATGTGCTTTCTGTACTAATCTCTTTCTGTGTTACATAGACGACACTTGGTAACACTTGAACAGACTTGGGCCTTCACAAAGTGAAATTTGAGACCATTTCAGCCTTCTGTAGTTGCCTTGGCTAGCATTTTTGCTAGCTGGTTAGTAAGACATTTCCAAGTGCAGTTATTTTGAGCTCCCAGATTATTTTAGAATTTGAACCAATTGCAATTTTAAATAGTACATTATGTTTAGAGTTCCCTTGAGGTGTATGTGATTGCTGTTACTCCCAGAATTACTGTCATATTGAATTTTATCTTTTTTTATTGCCTAATGGAGTATTCCGGTTTTATATTTCATCATATTTTTTGATGGACTGAAAGTTTGTATAAATGTGTTATCCATAATGCTAAAAGCCCAATAAAAGAAGATGTGCCATTCATAGCATACAGTGCTCGTGGGTAAAAATGCACCATTGTCTACCACTTGGTGTTTCCTTGTGAGAAAGGAGGGTGATGGGAGAGGGAGATTGGGGTAGAGGGCAGGTCACCAAAGGCAGGGCTTCTTCGTTTCTGCGGCCCCCCAGGACCTCTGCCACTCCCCAGGACCTCTGCCACTCCCCAGGACCTCTGCCACACGTGACTGTGTCTGTCTTCTGCTGATTCGCTACTAAAAGCTTTGGAATGTATTTCCCCTTTCTGGAATCTCGCCCTAAAATAAGAGTCGGCTCCAGGACCTGCACTCTGGCCACCACTGCCCTGAAAGACTCTCTTCAGGGCGGATGAACAGCTCGCCTTTGCCTCTTCCCTCTGGTTCTTTCCCCCCTTTCTTTCCTTTTCCAATCAAACGTTTCCCACATTCTTATTTTTGTTTACTTACAGAGTGTGATTTGTGGCATCTATTTGGTTGTGAATAGCCCTCCCCCTGACAGGGTGCCTTTCTTCTGAGCTGCTTTTCTGGGGGTGATTTAGTTGCCTTGAAAGGATTAAGGTTTCTTTGTGTACACTAAAATCAACATAGGCTTTTTCTAAGCTTTGCTTGGGAAACCATACACAAATAAGCATTTTAGTTGATGGCAGATTATTCCTTTGCCCCTTATTTCCATCAAAATGGCCTTTCTTTTCTCCTCCAGAGTTTCCCCTTAATGCCTTATGCTAATTCCTGTTGGTAACATGAATGACAAGAGACGGAATCAGTGCGAATCCAGGTGGTGCAAAGTAGACTCACTGGTATCCAGCACCCCCTTCCTCCCTGGGGAGAAAGAGATTAAGGGGGGTGCGGAGGGGGAAAGCATCGGGGACAGTTTTGTTAAGGGGATTAGTATTCAGACTGCTAAATATCAGGAAAACAACTTCAAAAAGGGATTCATTGTGTAGTGAGAATGTCAATAATTGCTTCAGGACAGGTGCACAGTCTCGTTATAGGCTTGTGGTTTTGGGTCTGTTTTTACTCCGGGTAGTGGCAGTGTTTACAGGATGGATGGCTGACAAGGCCTTCAAGGAACTGTCAGCTTCATGCACATCAAGTTCAAGTTTTCCTGCAAGGCGGCCTGCGTGCCTGAAAGTCAGGTCTCCTGTCTTTGTCCAGTAACTTTAGCCAAGAGCAATAAAAAACATCGTAAGAAAGGGCAAATTTACACCAGGTAACAAACACAACTGGGGAAATCTTCAAAGCCCCAGCTTATGGGACAATCTAACCGGAGTACAGGGGAGCTGACATGTGTATCCCTCCACCTCCAGATGTTTAAAGTCACACTTCACCTCTCCCTCTCAAGAGGCTGGCAGTATTCTGGCCTCAGAGGAGCGTGGCTTTAAGCTGCTGGTAAGATTATGCTGCTGAGCCTGGTGGCAGGCAGATTTGGTCCATAAAATTTCACTGTGGGAGGGCAGTGCTAATCTCACAAGCTGATTGTGGTGGGGGTTGGGGGGGTGCAGCCTTGATGTTGGGCTGCACAGTGTGGAGATGACGCTCAGGCAGAGGCAACAGGGGCTCGAGGCCCATCAGTCAGCTCGTGAGCTTGAATAAGTCATTTACCATCTTTAGGTCAAGATTTTCAATCATAACAAAACTTATTCCTGGGCCAACATCTCTGGTGGGGATAAAACAATTAATTGGGAAGGGGCAGGAGTTGAAAAAGAGTGGGTACAGTGAGTATATTTTGTATGACTTTTGTTCATTGATTTTATTTTGACTTTCCCTGTGTTGTAGACGCCATCCAGTTTAATAGAGATTTTTGTGTTTAGGTGTTCCGAATGGTCGCTTTCTTCTGACACCTTTTATTCCCTGCTTTAAAACAAGTTAATCAAACAGCACGTGCTTGCATGTACACACAACTTGCCAAGTGAGGCCTTAGCATTTCGAAAGGGGTGTGGCATTGCGCAGGGCTTAGCATTGTAGACACAAAAAACAGTTTAACTTTAATCAAGGTCATGGTTGCCGTATTTAATCTTTATGTGTTTAAATGTTTACAGGATGTTCATGTGAATTTTATGAATCCTTCTGTCTTTGTGACTCAACCATCTGCCAAAGAAAAAATTAATTTTCCCAGTGAGACAGAGGCACAGAGAGAGACTAACTTAGTGTCCCTGTTTAGTTGATTGAAATGCTGTAGGAGCAACAGGACCTGTACCCCAAAATCTGGGGTATTTATTCTAAAAAGGAACTTTCAGTCTATTCAGCATGGCCAGTATTTATTATCCTCTCTTGCCTACTGTAGATCCTTGGTGGTGTCACCAGTTTGGTCTGTAGACAAAAGTGCAGAAAATGAGTTCTTCTTTGCTGCACACAATTATCCTGCCAACATAATGAATCTTTCCTAAAACTCTTGGATTGCTCCAGAGCAGAGCTGCTTGAGGAGGAAAGAAAAGAAGGGAAGCCTGTCTGGGAGGAAAGAGAACACTAGTAGGGTGTCAGGAGTTCTGCGCAGCCCTCAGTTGCTAGGATGCCAGTCCTGGCGTGTGGCCATGGTCTAGGTTAGGGGAAGAGAAAAAGCCCTGAATCGCCGCCTCCTTAGTTCAGAGCCCTCCTTCCCAGGATTCAGCCTGTAACCAAGATAAGTCATAGACAGACGATGACAAGTCAAGTCATAGATAGACGGTGAGAGGGGCACCATGGTGTATTTTACCCCGTGACTTTCTCACCCCTTCTTCTTCCTTCAACTTTGTCTCAAGTTGAAGAACTGGGTCCTCCTGGGGAAAAGCCCCCTGAGTTAGCCATCAGGGAGCTGTGCCCAGCTAAATGGGCATTTCTGAATGACTTGAGGGCGTGGGTTTCCTGCAGCAGGGAATGAGGCACCTCATTCTGCTTCTTTCTACTGTGAGCACCCAGTGTCTCCTGAAATGTGAACAGCAACAGAGCAGCTGCTCACCCTCGTAGGCAGGACCCCACCTCACCTCCATCAGCCTGGGAGATTCTAGTGGACACTCACCAAGAAGAGCACCAGATGCAGCACTCTGGCCAGCTGGAGCCCTCTCTGACCAGGACTGCTTTTCCTCTCCCGGTCTCTACCAGGCCTGTTAGTGGAACACACCCGGCCTCTTCTTGGGGTTGGTTTTGCACTGAGAATTTCCAGGGGAACACAGATGAGGTTGGAGCCTTTAGGTTAGTGGAGCCTTTGGATATTTTTGGCGGTACGGTTCTATCAGCATTATAGAAAGAAGACCTAGCTTAAAAATTGCCTGAAATCTGAGGAGATGAGGTAAGAAACAAGTTACCCAGAGACACTGCTGGCTTAGTAACCAGGTACCTAATTCTTCAATGGCAACCATATGACCTCATTCTTTAGGTTTAGACACAAGGGATTTCCTTGGTTTGGTGACAGAAAGGTAAAAGTCATATTGCCATCAAGGTCACCATTGACTTTTAAGAAAAACCCATTCCTGCTGAGCGTGGTCGCTCACACGTGTAATCCCACAACTTTTGGGAGGCTGAGGCAGGAGGATTGCTTGAGCTCAGGAGTTCAAAACCAGCCTGGGCAATATAGCAAGACCTCATCTCTACTAAAATTCCAAAAATCTAGCTGGGGTTGGTAGCGTGTATTTGTAGTCTCAGCTACTTGTGAGGGTGAGGTGAGAGGATCACTTGAGCCCAGGATGTCAAGGCTGCAGTGAGCCCTGATTGTGCCACTATAGCCGGGGCGACAGTGTGAGACACCATTTCCAAAAAAAAAAAAGAAAGAAAGAAAGGAAAGAAAGCCCTTTCCATGAAATAATTCTGAGCATGAAAATAATGCCGTTGACTGTGGAATAGCTTTCTTAAGAAAA